GACAGAAAGCTCTTCTTTCTGCACCCATTTTTAAGGCTGCTAGTCAATTCACCTCAGTGTAAGAAGCTCAAAGCAGCAGTTCTTGATCAAACACAATATGAACACTTTAAGATGGAATCCTCTCACAATACTGACACCTATTTCGGTGTGAAGAACGTACTCCTTGAAAAACAGGGAAGGTGCTCTGAACTACAAAGAAATGGAACATGAAGTGGTGATGCTGCCAAGCTTCTGGTGGTTTGCTTGTTCACTTCCACAAGCACATGCCTAGGTTAAGGTATTGCATTTTAGCATTGATACATCAACTGTTTGCTTTCTGGTTTTTCAATCAGTCTGGTGTCAGTTTGCTTTCTGCCATTTTTTTCCCCTTAAAAGCCATGGAGATGTGGAGATCCTCAGCACCTGACTGGACATGGCCTTCAGCAGCCTGCTCTGGCTGACCCTGCTTCACAGGGAGTTGGACTAGGTGGTCTCCAGGGCTGCCTTCCAACCTGTGAGTCAGTAATTCCAAAATCATAAACCACTGGGAGAGGGGGAAGATTTAATACTTCACATCCAAACCAAGGACTGCCATTATCTGCTTGGAAAGCACTTAACTTTCTGCAGCGTTAACAAGCAGTCTTCTCCAGGCTATGAAAAACTGCATGTGTTGATGGAGCTGAAATGCTTGGAATAGAGTTTCCTGTCAAACGGGCTTGAAGAAGAGTAAGACAGTGAACTGTTCTCCTTGTCTATATCTCTTTTAGCAGCTCTTCAGAGTGTTGGTGCTCTCTGCATATAAGTGATTGATGTATCACTCCATGCCAAAAGTTTTTTCAGTGCAGGTGAAAATGGTTGATCAATACCTAAGTTTAAGAAACAATCTTCAGTGGGCAGCCACAATTCTTCAAATGTCTTTCTTAAACTTACTTCTTTCTATTTAGATGGCAGTTTTGCTCAGTGTAAATGAATTTCTATAAAAGCTGCTGGGTAGGTACCGTGTTCCTTTCAGCACTACAATACCAAGAGAAATGCAAAGGCTAAGACTAGCTAGAGCTTGCTGCAAAATGGAAAAACAGTTCAGTACTTCTCCTAACTCTGTCATTCCCACCAGATTTCTTTCATTACTTTTCTCCAACATTGGAGTTTGGTCATTTCAATTATTTAAGCATTGTGGACTTTTTAGAGACAAAACACTTTTAATAATAAAAGCATAGAGACTTTTAATACTGATATATTGGCCTTGTCAAAACAAAACCAAAAATAAAAGAAAGGTGACTGTTAAATCACTAGCCAGCTGAAGTTCAAAGTAATCAAAGACTGAAATTGCTCTGATGTTGTAAAAAAAATGGAGCCAAGGTTTGATATGGTAGTGTTTCTGAACTATTACAGATATTTTGAAATGCAAGTTGGTTTTTATACCTTCTGTCTAGATTCAAGCAGTTTTATTTTAGTAGTGATGTAGTAAATGCTGGCTTGTCATTTATAATCAACCTAGAGTTACTTTGTTTCTTTTCCTTTTCCTTGAAGTAGAGTCACATTACCCATTTTTTATACTTCGTTACTTTACACATTTTCAAGAAAGCCAAATCTTTTTCTGAAGATTTCTCACAAATTGCGAACTTTTAATTACTGAACTGGAGGACAGTATGGTATAAAAAGTGTTCTCACATTTCAAAATATCTGTAATAGTTCAGAAACTGCTGAAATAATACACAGAATGCTGAAAGGAAGAAACCTCTGGAATCCAACCTCCTGCTCAAAGCAGGACTGTCACCAGCACCAGATCAGGTTAGGCAAGGCCACAGTCAAAAAACCTCCAGTGATGGAGATCCAGCAACCAGCCATCTTCCCCCTTTGTCCTTTTGGTCCTTTTGCACCCATTCATACTTTGCCTGTGAACACAGTGATCTCCAGCCCTCCACACTTGTAAGCAAATGTGCTGTATGGCACAAGCACAAAGAGGACACAGCAATGTGCCTGTCAGTTGTAGTGTTTTGTAAATTGATGGAGTTATGTTTTCCCTTTCGTTCTATTTCTGTATTCCCATCTTATTTTGTTGATGACTGTTTCTCCATCTGTACACAGCCATGGAATCTGATGAGCCTGTATCAGTCATCACTTCTCCAGCAGAAAAGGTCTTTCATGCAAATTGGTATTTTAACTTTAACAAACAAAGCCTCAGCAGGAGAACACTGAACCCTGTCCATTTGTCTCTTACTGCAGTTCCCATACACTTCAGGGTACACAGTGACTAAGGCTGCTGACTAATTCACATTGTTTGTGCCCTGCTAACAATAGCTTGAAGTGAAAAGGGAATCTGGAGGCTTTTAGGTATTTTTCTCTTTGTTACCAGGAAAGATTTTCAGATTCCTGAAAAAACACTCTTCTTTTTGTCATCCTGGAGGTCCTCAACTCATAGCCAGCCTATTTTGTACCCCTACTAAGCACAAACTATGTTATTTCCACGTTTTAGCTCCTAGAAAGGCTGGGTAATTTTGTCTTTTATAACCTGGGAGCAAAACCATCACCCATAAATACAGTGTGCTCATCAGTTGGGACACCGGGGTCAAGGTGAAAAACAGCTTGGTTTTTTACAGCTTCGGGAAACCCGTCTGCTGTCTCATGCCTGTGGCCACAGGGTGGCTTCCTCTGTCTGCAAAGCTGCTCACGGTCCTCGGGTAAGGCGGCAGGGAACCCAAGTGCTACCGTGCCTAAGCAAACCCCTTCCCACGTCACCTCCCGTGCAGGGAGAACTTCTCCAGCATCAGCGGGGGAAGAACTCAAGCAAACACACCCAAGCTCTCATATTTTCCACCACAATTCATGGAAATACGCAGAGTCAACTTCTTTCTTCCCTCCAGGTATGGGTTACCTGGAGAAATTAAGAAGAGCAGGCACCACAATGTAAACGCATGTGTACATTTCCTTCCACTAGGGAAACAGTGGCAAATACAAAGCTAATAATTCCAGAATAATGACTTTCTATATCTTCTCCCACTTTGCACAGCATGGTGTCCTCACACGGAACTCCTTCCTGTGTGTCCTGTTTTCTACCCCTGATTAAGTACTACACCCCCCCAGTTCAGCTGCTTTCCTTTCTGCCCTGAACCTAAGCCTGGCAGTAAGATGTCACAGCTCCTGCTTATTCCATGGTTTAAGCCCAGTTGGAAATAAAACACACAACCTCTCGCTCAATCCCCCTCACTCCTCTTCAGCCCGGGGAAGTGGGGAGGAGAATCAAAAGTAAAACTTTTAGGTTGAAATAAGAACAGTTTCCTGATTGAAAACACAGTAAAATGCAATAATAATGGTAAATAATAATCATAATATAAAGGGAAAGGGGAAAAAAAAATTAAAAGAGTGAGCACAATGCAATTGTTCACCACCCCTTTCCTGAAATCAGATTGGTCCCACTTCCAAGTAACCAAGTTTATACACTGGGCATGAGTTCTATGATGTGGAATATCCCTTCAGCCAGTTCCAGTCACCCATCCCGGCTATGCCCCCACCTAGTTTCCTTTCGTGCAGCCCCTCACTGGCAGAGCACACACATACCAAATAATAATTAAAAAAAAAATTAAAAAAAAATTAAAAGTCCTTGATTTAGGACCAAAGCACCAATGTGCCATCAACATTATTTCTCACGCTGAATGCGGGCGGTGGGGCTGCGGGGCGGGGTTATCCCGGCAGTGCGGGGGGATACCCGGGGCAGCGGGGGTTTATCCCGGGGATGGGTGGTGGTGTCCCGGTGCAGAGGAGAAGCCCTCCAGGATTCCCCGGCTCCCAGCCCGCCCAGGAAGCGCTCTCTGCCCGCGGAGCAGGATCCGGAGCAGCCCTGCAGGAAGGCTGGGGTCGGGGCCGGGAGAGCCGAGGCTTTGAGCCCCCTCCCAGCGCAGAGCCGTGGTGTGCCGGCCCTGCGGGGCATGGAGCCGGCCGGGCAGAACTCACGGGAGGAGCAGCTGCTCCCCTCTGCCGCTGCCATCCCTGCCTGCTTGCATCCCTGCCGAGAGCGCAGTTCCCCCGTTCCCTTGCCCTTCCTCAGCTCCCAGCCAGTGCTTCTGATGGCACCAGCTCTGCACCCCGGCTCGGTGGGAAATCCGTGTCCCCCCACTCCCCTTGTCATGGCCTTGCCGTTCTGCCTCCTGTCCCCCCAGCCCTAGTGTGTGATCAAGCGTATAATCGAGTCTGACAGCGCAGGGAAGGGGGCTCCCAGCTCACCGATGGGTGCAGCTGCATATGTAACAGCTTTCTGTGATTAAAAAAAAAAAAAAAAAAAAAAAAAGTGGTCACCTTTTGATTTTACTGCAAGCATAATCTGTCCCAAAAAGTAGCTGAGGATAGGAACATTTGAACGTGCCCGGCACGACCATGGGGAGAGCACCTGGCTGCTGGTAGAGCATCAGGAGCACGGGAAGCTGAAAGGATGGAGCTCTGCGCTCCAGCCATGGCAGGAATCCAGGGCTGAGTGGTCGGAAGAGAAATTGAGTAGCCAAGGTAAAGAGCATCCATTGTAGGACCCAGATGCAAAAACGGGCTATGACAACAATAAAGCCAAAGCCCTGGGAAAAATGTGATGTGTTTGCAAAGCCCTCAATGGGGTCCAGATTAGGTACCCTTTATACCTTGTCTTAGTAAAGCTGTGGACAGGAACTTCATGTACACAGATGATCTTCCTGTTTTGGTTTTCATTCACGTTCAAGCAATAACTCAATGCACTCAAGGCTATGCTGCTGCTAGTAACAGATGAAATCCCTGCAGGAGTGTCCCTTCTGTTGATGCAGTTTGTGCCCTCCTTCCATGGAGACATGACTGGGATCCTGGGAAAGGAGGTAGTTCTTTCTTCCTCCTGACTACCCTGTCATACAGAAGTTACCTGCTTCCTGCCATAGCAAATCTGACCGTAGCAGCAGTGTGTCTGTGGCAACCTGAACTAGGAATTTTTGCAGGATCAGAAGGGAACTCTTCCTTCTACCCTGTCTGCCTGCTGAGATGCTCCCCAGGGCAGTGGTTGTTGGGCATTTGTCAGGTGCTGGTACCACCTCTGAAATGCTGATGGATTTGCTCCTCCAAAGTTCCTGTTTGTTGACAGCTCTCAGAGCAAATCCCTTCTGTTTGTTATGAGTTGCCCAGGGGGAAATATCTGTGTGGACACGTTTGTGACTGCAGCTCTGGAGCGGGGGCTGCCCATCTGGTATCACCTTGCAGCATGTAAATAGCTTGGGCTGGCTGTAAATAGCTTGGAGTGGCAAAATCCTGAGAGCTGCAGGGCTGCAGAAAGCAACCTCTCTTTATATATCAGCTTGGAACTGCTGGAAACAATCTGTCTGCACAGGTGGTCCACTTCAACATTCAGCAAATACTTGAGGTAGGGACTCAGATTGAGGGGGGTTTTTTTATTATTATTTTTGCTGAAGCTTTCATTTTGCTCATCTGTTTATGTTTTCCTTCATGATTCTGCAGATCACAATTGCATCCTTTCTCTTTTGCTTACTCACTTTCCTTCTTTGCCACGGAGAAGAAAATATTTCCTGCTTTGCCACAGAGAAGAAAAGATTTCAAGACTGGTGGTTTTGTAATCCCTGGCATCTGAGGTACAAAACTGTCCTGTTCACCTGAGCTGTCTCCTTGATTCTGACACTGTCCAATCCCTTATTCCCACCATTAAATAGCTGGTGTTGGATGAAGTGGTCTGGGCACCCATGAGTTTGCAGTATTTTGCCCACCTGTCCAGTAAGTCAGCTCCATGTGGAGCTTGAGTGGTTGTGCAGCATCTTTGAAGTGAAGAAAAAAAAAAAAACTCTGAAGATTAAAAGCAGGGCGGGGGGAGGTAATGCCTTTAAAGCTTTAAAAATATTCCCATGAGTGATCTCAGCTTTAGCTGTGGTACATGTCACTCCCTGCTCCTAGATTTATCCCCCCAGTATCCCTTCCCTGATATCTTTGATTCTTACTTTTTAAAATAAAATGGGATCTTTCTTACCATTATGTTTTCCTTCTTCTGCTGCTTTTTTCCTGCAGCAACTGCTAATGCCAGCCCTCTTGATGCTAACTGCTGTTGCTTACTGTTTGGCTGGTTTTGGCCTCAAAACACTAAATACTGACAGAAAAATTCTTGTCTTGGGTGTTGATGGCATTTGTAAGGGCAGCCTGCCCAACAGTTGCATTCATGGTGGTTGTTGGAGCTCAGCAGGGATGCCAGGCTGGGAAGTGACAGAATCCAGCTAGAGCAGACAAGATATCAAATTGGTTTTTTGTTGAGTTTTTCTGCCTCAGCCTGAGAGTCTTGGAGGAGAAAGAAGAGATAGCAAATACAAAAATCAGGTTCTGGTATCTAAGAAGTAATCTTCTATTTAAAATACTTTTAGGAGAGTAATTAGACTTTTGGCTGTCGTTATTGAAGAAATAAGCCTAAATGTGGCTGGGTTTTGCTCTTTTCTGACACCTGTATCTATGATTATTGTCATCCAACTCTAAGCCCAGCACATCTGGTGCCGTGTTCTGACATGTATCACTTATCAGAAGAGGAGCAACCTTGAGTCTCCTTCAAGAAAAATATCTGACACCAGATGCCTCAGTATGGCACAAGATGTCCATAAATGTTTGTTGCTCAGTTGACTCAATTTCTTTAAGTAATCACTCTGTTTGTTCCCAGTATTCAGCAGGGGCAGTAGATTTTAAGACCTCTTGCTGAATATTCAACTAAGATTGTTTTTGTTTGCTCCTGCAGGAAGGATTCCTGGTTGCTGAACCTGATGTAACTGCGCAGATGGACCAGGAAGAAGAGCAAGAAGAGCCTTGGAGGAGACACACATGGGTGAGGAGCAAGTGATGTCAGTTTATAAACACAGAGCAAGCAAAATGCTCTTCGGGCTGCCTCAGTGCTATTTGAACCACTCTGTTTTATGCAGGTCACATTGAGACTTGCTCTTTCCCCTCAGGGAAAGCAGCCTGCTTGCCTTTGTCAGCTTGCAGGTAAGGGTGTGTAGGAAAAGGGAATATTAGGAATGTGTGAAGGTTTTTTGGGGATAAGGAGACACCTGTAGTATTGCTCTTGGCTCTGCTGTTCATGGCACGTCTGCTCAGGGTCATGTGATGAGGCTGAAGAGCCTCTCCATCTGGGTTTCCATTTGCTCCCAGTCTTCCCTTTACTGCTTCTCCTACATGGTGCAAACAAGGCTCCCTAAGGTAGTAGCTTGCCTGTTTGCTGTGCCAATTCCCAGTGGGAATCACAGCCATGCATTTTGTTCCAGGTGGTGAGCTGGGGCCCCTTCCAGATCACCTTGAATGCACATATCTGCAGGACGTGCTGGCAGCAGGCTCCAGAGGAGGAGAGGAGCAGTTTGGGGACAGCATGGGAGTCAGCGTGGTTGCTCAGAGGCCCAGCAAGGTGGCTGTGAGGAGGGAAAGGAGGTTTAGCTGCCCTGCTCTGACATCAGCCCGGTGAAAAGGTGGGTGAGAAGGGCGGCAGCTTCACGGTAAGTCCCTCACATGGAGCATCCGACCATCTGCTCCGAGTGCATCTAGGGCTTCAGCCAGTGCATCTACTGGTCCAGCACCAGCGCACGCACACCGGGGAACGCTCCTTCCTGTGCAGGGCCTGCGGCAAGGCCTCCAGCCAGAGCTCCCACCTCATCCACCACCAGCACGCCCACACAGGCCAGAAGCCCTGCACCTCCACAAGTGCAGCAAAGCCTTCAGCCAGAGCTCCAGCCTCCTCAAGCAGCAGCGCGTCCACACAGGGCTCAAGCTGTACACATGCAGCGAATGCAGGAAGTTCTTCAGTTCTTCCGCAGCAGCTCCACCTGCATCAAGCACCAGTGCATGCACACGGGCCAGCGGCCCTACAAGCATGCAGCCTGCAGGAAGGGCTTCGGCCAGCACCGCCACCTCCTGCAGCCCTGCGGCCATGGGCAGTGCGGGAAGCGCTTCAGGCAGAGCTCCAACCTCATCAACCACACGCACACCTCTTGGGGTCTGGGTGTTGGGATGACCCCAAGATTGTAAAAGTCCTTGTTTCCCAGTCCATGCCAAAGAAGGAGTCTGAATGCATAGGACTGGCTTCTCAAGGTTGTTTCTTTTTCCTTATCTATAACATTCTTTCTCTGACCTGCTGAGTTCTGTCGAGCAAGTCAGCCATGGCATTCTGTCCCCAGTCTCAGGTGGCATTTACATTTTATACTCAAAACTACACGTACTATGTTTACAATAATGTGCCAATATCTATCACTTATGTTAGACAGTGTGTTTCTACCTTAAACCAATAGAAAAGTGTCACCATCACACCAAGACATGGAGGACAAGAAGGAGAAGAAGGCCAGGACACGCCCAAATCCCTCCATCTGCTACCCCCTCAACCCCATTCTAAAAACCCCAAAATTCTACTTTTTCACCTTGTGCTAACTCAACTATCACATTACTCAAACCCTTGTGGCTTCTAATTCCTCGGACAAAGTTGTCAGTTTTTTCCACAGGTTAAAATTGAAGCTGCAGGTGTTTTTGACTTCATGCCAAGGTCTCCAAGCCCCCAGCCAAGGTCTCAGGGCAGCCAGAGGGATGTCCTGGACTCCGACACACACCCACAGTGAAGCCGTACAAGTAGGCAGTGTGGCTGCGGCTTCAGCAGCAGCCCCACCACTGCTGCCAGCGTTGGGAGAGCTCTCACTTCCAGCCCCAGCTGGTGCAGCACCAGAAGCACCACATGGAGTAGTTGGTGCAGAGGAGAAGGCTCCATGGATCATAGGAAGCTGGCAGGTGTTGGGAAGACATAAAGCTGCTCCCTGGACATCTTGTAAAGGGCATGAATTTTGGTGGAGGAAGCCCTCAGAGCCTGTCCCTTTTTTGTTTTCCTTTTTAATTTTTTTTTTTACTTTGTGGTATTCACATTTCCTCTGAACAGAGAGAGACTTAGATTTCTCAGGATTTTTCCTGAAAGAAGCTGTGAGAGAAGCAGAGAAAAGAATGATCAAAACAATTCTTATCTCACTTGCTGCTGCTCATTGTTGTGCACATGTGGAATGTGTTAGAGAGATTGTTTACCCAAGGTGATTTCTTAATTGGACACTGGTGATGATGATTGATTGACCAATTAGGTCACAGCTGTGGTGGTACTCTTAGCAGAGACAGTCACAGGTTTTTCTAGTTAGTTAGTGATCGTTCTTGTTAGTGTAATATGGTATAATATAGTTATAGTATAATATAGTATAATAATGTAATTAATTAGCCTTCTGATATCATGGAGTTCTGTGTATCATTCTTCCCACATCAGGCATCGCAGCACCAATATTACTTTTTTGTTGTTGTTGGATTTATCCAAATCTGTTAGTGAGCACTGCCCCAACACTCAAGCAGGGATGCAGGCCACTGCTGAATAAATGAAATGAAGTAGAGCACGTTCACTGTGGCACAGTGTTTGTTGTGAGCCTCTCTTTTGGGGATGAAGAACAGAGGGGTACTTACACAGTATGGTACATTCAAGGACAGAGAGAACCTAGAAATGTTCCAAGGATCAGTGTCTTTTTTTGTTATTTCTAGAGAGGAGTGATTTTTATCCCAATAAAAAACAGCTAAAATTTGTACCTGTTTCCTGTACAAGCTGCCTGTGTTTTCTCTCATGGTAAGGTCGCAGCCTGGGATGATTGCTTCCCATAGAATCCATATCTCCCACATGCCAGCAGTCTTGGCTTTAGATGGTGTTTGCATCTATTTATTTGAAACCCCTGCAATGCTGTGCTGGGAGCCTCTGTGTGCATATTGTGGGCCCAGCTGATGCTGTTCCGGGACCATGCCTATGAAACTGTGTGTTTGCTGGGTTGTATCATTGTTAAATTGACAATTCCACAAATCATGCTGCTGTCTGACAGCTTAGTCCTCAGCAGCAGTTAACTAAACTAACATCCTAATAGGTTTTTCTCTCAGAGTCCTGTTTAGGTGCTTTTGTGGGTGGTACTTTATGAATGTTTCTGTAAGGCTTTAAAAAGTATTTAGGATGACTTTTTCAATTGCAGTCTTTTAATTGTCTGATGAACTGAAAATGAACAGGAAAATGATGAACAGAAAAATTATGGCACTTGAAAAATGAGCTGTGTCAAACTGATCTTGTATTAAATGTTAAACATTTTTTCTTGCATAAAACCTTTGAATTCAAATACCATGGTTTTGCATTGTTAATGATTACAAAGAAGTAATTACGATTTCTTGGCCGATTCTGAGAATTTCTGTGATGTTTTTGTGAGTGGTTTTGACAGTTTTAATAATTACTGTCTAAGGAACATGAGGGATGCAGGATTCTGAGAAAGCAGAAGGGTCTGACCTCTGAAGAGGTCTTCTTCACTTTGAGGAGGAGAATACTACTACTGGAAGTCTGTCCTTAATAGGAATTCTAGCTCAGGCGACCACTTGGTACGGGGGAGGAGGAGGGAACTGGCAGTAATAACAAAGATGTTAATATCTCTAGCATGGAAGAACTCCCTGTAATGAGTGTGGCAGTATATACTGAAATGCCTGTTCCACCCACAAAGACAAACGGGAAGAAATCACAGTGTGCTTCAGGCAAGAAAACGAAGCCATCAAATCTGTTGTGCTACAGAATTTTTATTTTCAGCACCATACACGGGTCTGGTGCAAACAATGAGCTTTCACACAGGGGTGAGCTCCCAAATGGGGGAAATCACTCAGGGAAGAGAGAATGCCCAGCATGAAGAGCACAGGATCCCTAGGAAACAAGGAAGCTGTGACCAGAATATGAGTGGAATTAATGTCTGAGTAATGTGGATACATCCATGCCTCCCTTAGCCACCAACTGCTGCCACAAAGTGCACAACTTCTTGCTCCACCAGCAGCAGATCTGGTTTAAGTAATTTGGTCTCTACTCCCACCTTCTCCCTGAGAGCCTGAATTAATACAGTTGTGCTAAGTGTTCACATGGCTGTACTCTTAAGATCCATGAGATGATCCATGATTTTTAAATGACAGACTTCTCAGAATTCATTCCAAACTTGATTAGTCCAATCTAGACCACAGGCTCATGAGGAGCACGGTATGTACCACTGAGAGGCTTGGAGTCAGAGAAAAGACAGGCCAAAAAAAAAAAAAGGAAAGAAATAATGTGGACAGTATTGCTGTTTGTTCCCAAAAATGACATCATTTAAGAGGTTTGTTGCTTTTCTTCATCTTTTTTTTTAAAGTTTCTAAGAAGGGCTAGACCTGAAAAAGCCTGACACATAGCCTTTGTTGTTTCTGCATTCCCAGCCCCATCAGAAAGTCCATTGCCACCAGAGGATGGAAACTACTATTCATTTTGGTGGTGTCCTTGCTGCACATGCTGTTACCAAAACATTTATTTATTCTGAATATTAATTCTGCCCCCATAAAGTGGCCAAAAAGATGTCTCTTGCCTCAGAGTTGGAGTTGCAGCCAATTGTGTACATTTGCAGAATAGACAAAGCAAGGCCAGGGACATGACATTTACAGAGTAAAAGGTGCCAGGAGCACAGAAGCCAAGCAGTATTAACCCAGGTGAACTCTTCTGCTCTAATACTGTTTCTGTTAGTTTTCAAACTAGGCTCATGGAGAGCCTGCTGATGGGCATTACCTGCACCCAGTTAAGTCCTCACAGGGGCACTGCTGCTGTGCCCTTACTCTCCACTCCTGCCATGACAAGCCAGGGCACTTTGTGCTCTCTCTGTTCAGTCATTATAAATCCCCTGGTTCAGAGCCTATAGCACCCAGTTCAGCTTCATTACATGGTTAATTCAGGTTCCCTTAGCTGGGAGCCAGGCAGAGTGGGAGAACTATGAATATCGGAGGACATTTTCTTATTCTCTCCTAGTCATTCATTGAGGTACAAGAAGAATAGGCCATTTGGGGATCAGCCTCTTTCTAGAGATGGCAAACAAAAGTGCTGTGAGGATTTGGCCTGACTGCATGACTTCTCAGAGAGCTGGCTGTCATGTTCTAAAAACACCAGGTTGCCACCTAACTAGCTGTGGCCTGGACAATATGTTGGTTTTGATGCATCTCATGCCTTGGTCTTCTAGACTTCTAGCTCTTGCTGCAAGTGCCCCCATGGACAGCCCTGTTCATCTGGCAGTGAGTGACTGAATGTGGGCTGTGGCAAACAATTTTACTCCAGAATATACTATATAGAGAGAATATAGTACACTAATACCTTATGCAGAGCAGATGGACAGGGACAGCACCCAGGTTCACTCCCTGGGGGTGTACTATACGTGGGTGAAACAACATAAGAGTCCTAATCAGCTGAGTAAGGTGATCGATGCTCATGCAGCATTTTTGTGTTGCCACTTGATGTGCTGAAGTACACCAGTGTGTTACCCTTCCCTTTGCTAGAATTTAGTGTTAACCTGCAGGCAGCTGTTTTCCTTTTCCTTTTCTGTTTTCCTCCTCCCTACTGGCAGCCTCACAAACACCAGTGTTCTCCCTCACTCACCTAAACAGTTTGCCCAGTATTTAGACCATTACTTTTTTTTGTTTTCCCATTAATCTGAACTAGTTTAATCATGAAATCAAGTGTAATTTAGATGCTGAAACAGGAAATCCATTAAGCTTAGCTGCAAGGGAAGTTTTTACATTGATTTTCTTGCAAGTAAGGTTGAGCTTTTCACAGAAGTGTGTGGATCTCAGATGTTCCCAGTAATACTTGGGATGCTATCCACACTCTGCCTTTCAAAGATCTTTGAAGTAATACAAAATTAGGCTTCTGCTCTTCAAACACATTTTAAAATATGTTCTCTGCATGCTGCACATGCTTGAGTGTTTAACTTTTATATAGACTTATAATTATCTTGAAAACCTCTAAATCCCTTTGTTTTTGGGAGCTCTGTAACTCCAAGCTCATTGATATGATGAGGGAAGTTGGAACACTTAGGAATTGTTTCATCTACAATGCAGCATCTTCTCTTAATTAAGAAGTGTCTCTCATCAGGATGACAGGCTGTCCATGGAGACCTCTTGATTACAGAGCTCTGCTACAGTAACTTTCCTTTTACAGCTATTCACAAGAACCAGCCTAAGTTGCATTTTACTGAAACTGGTGAGAGAAATTTTTCATTCAAGCACCATACTGGCCTGAACAGAAGGCAGCCTCAGATCCCTCTTCTGAGGAGCAAAGACAAAAACTTTTATATATATAAATATATATTTCTATTTAAAGAGGGGAAAAAAAGAAAAAAAAAGAAACATCCAAACTCCAAACACATTTCATAATTTCCCTCCCCCAGTACTAATTAAAACATACCTTAGGCTCAGAGGCTGCTACCCACACAAGTTCTTTCACTCTGTCCATGGGGTGAAGGCCTTCCAGTGCATGGGACCAAGTGATGTCCAAGCCTTGGCAGCTCAGCTCCACAAAGATCCAGTTCCAAGTTGCATCAGTTGGCTCTGGCTGCCAGGGTTGCACATTGCTCTCTCTGTAAATTGGCTGCACTGGGGTGTTGTGTGCACTGTGGTTTTACCAATTTGAGTCTTTTTACTCTCTCAGAAATCCTGAACACTTGACTGTGCTGAAAGCTTCAGCTCAAGAAGCTGAGACTCCAAGTTATAAAGAAAAGCATTCCAGGTACCAGGTCCACACACCCTTTCTGTATGCACTCAGTAACTGTGGCCAAGTTCATGCATGAAGATTTGTAGGACCTGCATTTTAGACAGCTATTGTTCAAACTTTAAATGCATAGGTCTACTCTTCAAAAATTGCCCAAAATTGCCAAAAATCTGAAAGAGAAATGCAGGAGAGTTTACATAGCTAAAATAGCCTTCAATTTAGTGACCTCAGCTTCCTTACAGAATCAGTGATGTGAAGATGAGAGGGGTTGCAAACCCCATGTCAGGGATGCTGTCAGCAGCGGGGCTGTTCCCTGAGGGCAGCCCCAGAGCCAGCAACAGTAGATCCTGCTGGGCTATGTCCTTCCAACAGGGCCAGGGGCCAGAGGCCTCTGGGCATTCTCATTTGGCTGTCTTGCTTTGGCCCATATTTCCCTCTACATCCTCCTGCCAGAGGTTCATTTGCAAGGACCATGGGTGACTTTTCTGTCACTGCACATAAATTTAGTAATGACTAGTAGACATACCGGTCCTTAGGAAGGACACAACAGTGGGCAGTGTATCTTTACACTTTTTACACACTTTACACACCTTTTACACACTTTACACAAGGTAAAGCTTTTAGCTTTTTGTGCTACTGCTTTACCTGATCTCCACACTACTTGATGTTAAAACTCCTTGCCAAAACTTTTAACTCCAAGGTGAGCAGGCCTGAGGCCTGTAGAAAGACACATTCTGGTTTTGCCAGGAAACAGAGAATTTTGAGAGACTAAATTAATTAATGATTTAGCAGGCTCTTGAGTGTAATATGCAACCAGTTGGAGCTCTGCCTCTCACTACCCTGCAGTACCTATTCAGAGACAAGTGCACTGAGTGATTTGTTGCTCAAAGAGAAGATCTGATAACTAGGACATGAAAATCACTCCCACCTGCTCTGGAGAGGCTGATGGAAACCAACATGTCATGTAAGCAGAAAGGATTTCTGTCACACAGCAAGGATTAAATGAAAACACTACACCTGCTGTAATAAGTGGTCCTGTGCCATTTGAGGCATTTTCTTCAGGCTTCTTTCTCTAATTCAGAAATGGCCCTGAATCACAAACCTGTACCTACAGCCAGATGCTCATGGATAAGTGCACAAGTTGCAACCAGGAATTCCTGTGGGAGCTGCAGGGCATCTCATTTTGGCTGGCACGGACACTTTCCCACCCAGAAGTGACTTCCTGCAGAGCTCTGAGCTGGGTGACCTCTCCGTGTTTCTGTTGTCAGGTCTTCCTCACCCTCATTAGGCTTTAAGCTATGGATGGACACCTTTCTTGCTCCATGTTGGCTTGGAGACTTCTGCAGAGGGGGAGCATTGAGGGACAGACAGGAGTGATAAAGAAGCCTGAAGAAACACTGAGCACTTTTACTGAGAGCACTGAGCACTTTTTTAGGTGATAAAAGAGAGGATGAGTGACAATTTTCAGAGCAAAGGGATGCTGTGCCTTGCACAGGGAAATACAGGGCAGAGCTGGGAGCTGTTTCTCCTGCACCTGACTGCTGATAACACCTATCAGACATGATCTAAACACGTAAATGCTGCTTAGGTGACTCCTACAAATAATGTGAGTCTTAAACCAATACTGAGACAGGATCTGAATGAAGCTAATTGTTTATGACACAAAAATAATCCAGAGTACTGCAGACCTAAGGACAAAGAGGCCAAAAGAAAAGAACATGCCTCAAATAAAAAGATAAAGGCTTTCTGAATTAAAAATAAGGTTTTACATTTGCAAGAACAGAGGAGAGTTTATCCTTCCTCTGAAGGAGTTCGACTCCATAGAGTACCTGCATGGATTTTTTTGTATGAAAATGGTGGGCAGAATGTATTTTCTGTTATCCTGTGAATGGTATGATATTTATGGAGGGTCTGCTGCTCCACTGGAGAATATTTGGTTTATTGCCCAGTAATCAAAAAAATGGGTTGAAAACTATTCATGTAAACTGCTCACATCTTAGCAAAAACTGGGCAAATTATTTGCCTGCAGGATAATAAAAAGGCAGATTGGTGGGAGCTTTTCCTGCTTTTATTCTCCATGGTGACAACTCAAAGGCAATGACTTCGATGCTGTACGCATGGCAAATGTATAATGCTTGGTAACTGGGGATGTGGATGTCTACCAAAAAGCTATAAAAGTGTTACATTTTCATTATAGAGTATTGTTACATTCTTCTTCCCCTCATATTGAAAAAGTTCATTACAGGGGAGGATAATCTAAGTAAAATAACAGCAGAAAAGAAAGCCACTCACTCACTGTGTGATGGCTGGGAAATGGCTGTGGCAGGCAGCAACAGAGGCAGGAAAAAAGCCCAGCCCATCTGTAAACAGCAAGAGAACTGTACTCCTGGGCCAGGGCTCAAGTTTCCCTGGACTGAATTTTGCTTTTAAGCCAAGCCTGTCAGCTTCTAGTTCACACTTGTAACTCACATGCAAGTAATAGCACCTTGGAACTCCATTTGCTTTCTGACTCATTAAATGCTGTTCCTCTCTGCCACTGCCCTCACCAAGGACAATGAAACCTGAATGCATTTGCTCCTGCTGTTTGCACTCCACAGCTCTGACTGCAGCTGCCCTGGGGTTAAAAAAAATACTGACCAATTTTGAAATTATGTTCAGCTTTAATTTTTAAAATGTTTCCAGTAACACCCCTGCTTGGGCTTGAGAGACTATCTAGAGGGCTTGGGGTTTTGTTGGGGCATTCTGTAATTTTTGTTTTTATAGGAGGTAAAAGTGCTTTTACAAAATGCCACTTATTCTACATCCAAACCAGTTGGAACCCCAAGGCACCACATTAAAGGCTGACTGGAAATAGCCAAAGGAAAGCAGAGGGGTCATAGAAGCATTACAAGCATGACAAAAAATGACAGGCAAAAGGGAGAAGAGGTGATGGCCTCCTCTGGCAAGGGCCCCTGTGCAGGCAGGGGTGAACGTCAGAAAGAATTATAAAGGTCAGAAAAGCATTCACATGGAAATCATGGCAGGTTCCTTCCTTCAATATTAGCTAACTTTAAATTTCTGCTGTTTCTAATGCTGGTAAATCCAGCTGGCATTTTTGAGATCACATCAAAATGATAGCTGTTCCTTCACATCATGCAGTAGATACCTTCTCTGATATTCCAGGAAATGAGAAAAGGACTTTACAAGCCTCAGGTGACATGAGAGTGGTTTCAATATCACAGGTGTTGTAGAAAGCATGTACAGCTGGCAAAGCCTGGTGAAGACACTACACCACAGAGGTTTCTGGAATTACAGGGGCAAATCTGCAGCACCTGGTAGATGCCAAAGGCTTCTTTGTTCCTGGATTCTACTTTGCTCCAGTAAAAAATGGGCTAAAGCCCATTTTAGCTTTTATTTCCACATGTGCCAAACCCAGTACTTGGTGACGAAGAACGGATCCTCACCCACATCTTGTGTGAAAGCTACCTGGAGAAAAAGACAGCTCCATGCAGTTTCTCAATGATCTCCACATCACTAACATTATTTTCAGAATAGCCCAGGCATGATAAACACTGTGATGCTGCCTTTATGTACCTGGAACAGCTTGTGGCAAGGTTTGACTGCTGAAATATTTTGTGATTGCTCCTTCTCAGGGGTCTCTCCCAGAAGCTGTCCTTTATCTCTCAGAGATGCAGCTCTGGGGTGCTGATAGCCACCCCTGACCCAACACCAGTAACAAAGGTGGAGAAGTTAAAACTCCAGTCCCTTTTACCATATGTCAGCACAAAGACCTGAGCAATTCTGGCTGCCTGTTTCAGATCATAAATGTTGAGGGTTTATCAAAAATTTAAAGTATTCAGAGTGCTAGTTTTGTTAATTTTCCCTTTCAGTGGAAATGGAGTGTTCTGAGGATGTTCACACCGAAACCACCCACTGGAACTTTTACAATGTACTTTAAAGGAATAATGGGATTGATGAGAAGTCATTACCATTGATATTTATTTTCCCATTCCATTATGTCAAAACCTTTTTTTTCTCCAGTAGCCAAGATCACTTTTTTTGACAGTACAGCCAAATCTACTGCTAAAGCTTGATCCTGCTTTTGATCTAGGGGCTCTTTTAAATTTTTACAGGATTCTCTCTCATTATCTATTTTCTTAGCATATCACTGTTGTGATGCTGTCATTTTAAGACTACAAACCTCTCCATGTCCTTGACATGACCCAGACATCTGTATCTAGTAAGAAAAGGATTTTAATTTTATGCCAGCAATAAAATTCATCACTGGAAAACTTATAATTTAAGACCCCATATTAACCAGGCTCATTATTTCCCAGCACTAGCATTCTGCAGGTGTTCTGAAAGATGGCACAGACACAAACCATTACTTCTCTCCTGAAACATGAGGCTCCTCTCTAGCTGTCTGTCAGTCTCTGGGCCCCTGCTCCCCTGCTGCAGGAGTCACAGGTCATTAGGGTTGTGTAGCTGTGCAGACACTCTCTAGTCACCCCTCACTTCTTGATTTGGTCCATTTGCTGCTGCTGCAGACACATTTCTAATGGGAAAAATAAAGGTGGCCTGAGGACAGACATGATTAGTAACTGAAAATTCCTGCAGATTTGTACAGAGATACAAATCCAAAATTGTAGAGCAAGGTTGCTGATGCTCAGATCTGACTTAAGGGACTTAAGGCCTCCTTTTTTCTGCAGCTGAAACTTTTATCATCTGGTAAAACTCACAGAATCACTAGTCATAAAATCTTTAGTACTTTTCCAGGTACTTAGATTCAAGAGATGTTTCCAAATTCTCACAAACAGTTGTTTGTACAATTAGAACAGTTTTCTTAAAATAATTAGCTTGCAACTACTTACTTATAAGCTAGATACATAAATGGCAACTTCTTACACACAGTGCACAGATACACCAAAGTACCAGCACTGCACAAACAAAACTGACTCAAATAAATGAAGACTTGTATTTTTAATACACAGAGCTCATTCCTGAGGGCTTGATCAAATAAACTAGAGTGACTGAGATAAGGGACAGAACATAACTGAAATGAGATGATTGTAATACTCAGGCTTTCAGTATTATTTAAAATACAGAGGTATTCAGAGACTGTAAAACTGCTGGTTTGGCCCCTTTCTGGCATAGTTAGATGCACTTTCAAATTTCTATGTCAAGTGTTTCCTGGGGCTAAGGGAAATTATAGCAGGCTAAACTGCCTTGAAATTCATGGCACAGGGGTTGCCAAGGTTTTCAGACTAACAAAATACCAACTTACTAAAATCCTCATATGTCAGGAATTAAATGTTTGATTTAAAACAGCATGGAGTGTAGCTCTGTAGACTTCTTAAAGCCTCAGAGACCTCAGATGGCAGGCACCTGCCCACCTCTTGCTAACTGTGCTATGATTTTCCTAAGAACACACAATTAATGGTAAAAAAAAGATTAAAATACATAAAATGTTACGTCTCTCCAGCCATAATACAGACAGATGGTAAATGCAGTTGCTAAGTTGCTCTCCCTGTTTGAAAAGTCATGACACTCAGGCAGTCAGGTCCCCAGTGCTGGTAGAAGGGAAACATCAGACCCGTTTTAAAGGGATAAAAGAACAGGGCCCCAGGAACTCTTGACCAATCAGCCTCGCCTCTGTGCCCTGAAAGATCCTCCTGAAAGCCATCTCAGGGGAGATGGATGGGAGAGAAGTGATTAAAGCTGGCTTGGCTTCACCAGGGACAAATCACACCTGCTTACTCAGAGACCTTCTTGGCAGAGTGATTGCACTGATGGATAAGAAAACATCTGATGTCATGCACCTTGACTTCTGGCCTTTGACACAGTCCCACACAACATTTAATTTCTAAACTGGAGAGAGATGGGTTTGATGGATGGACTGCTAGATGGACAAGGAATTGGCTGGATGGCCACATCCAGAGCATCAGTAAATGGCTCAGTGTCCAAAAGGACATCAGTTACAAGTGTTGTCCCTCAAGGGCCTGCACCAAGGCTGACACTATTCAACCTTCATTAATGGCACAGACAGTGGGACTGAGTGCCCTCTCAGCAGTCTGTGGGTGACACCAAGCTGGATGATGCCAGGGATGCCATTCAGAGTGACCCTGGGACAGGCATGAGGAGCAGGCCCATGAGAACCTCAGCAAAGTGTGGGGTGCTACACCTGAGTCAGAGCAATCCCTGGTATTGATGCACACTGGGGGAAGAATGGACTGGGAGGCCTGAGAGGGACTTGGGGAACTAGATGATCTTTAAGGTCTCTTCCAAACCACACTACAATTCTATAATTTTACAGTGGTGGATGAAGACTGGACATGAGCTAGCCATGTGGTCTCACTGCCCAGAAAACCAACCATATCCTGGGCTGCATCAGGTGAGTGACCAGCCAGCCAAGGAGTGGACCAAGGAGTGGAATTTCCCTCTGCTCCATTCTCTTGAGACCCCACATTGTACTGCATTCAACTCTGGGACCACCCACACAAAGACATGAACCTGTTAGAGCAGATCCAGAGGAGGGAGACAAAAATAGTCAGAGGGGCTGGAATACCTCTTCTATAAAGACAGGCCGAGAGGGTCGGCACTGTTAAGTCTGGAGAAGAGAAGGCTCAGTGGAGACCTTAGAACCTTCCAGTGGCTAAAGGGGCCTACAAGAAAGTTGGATATGGGCATTTTACATTGATTTTCAAGTAAAAGAGGGTAATTTTAGATTAGATACAAGGAAGAAATTCTTTACTGTGAGGGTGATGAAATTCTGGAACAGGTTGCCCAGAGAAGCTGTGAATGTTCTATCCCTGAATGTGTTCATGGCCCCAGCTGGATGGGGCTTTGAGCAACCTCCTATGTAGAAGACATCCCTTCCCTTCACAGAGGTTTGAAACTTTAAATGTTGAAATTTTTAAAGGATACCTCCTGCACAAACAATTCTCAATTCCACAATTGTATGCTCCTGCTGGCTAATTTCTCTCTGGCCAGGAAGACCCAGGACTGGGATTTCCAAAACTACAGTCATCACTAGAGGAGCATGGGAGAAGAATGTTTTCCTTTCATCAACTCACCCTCTCACATGAAAACTGACATCAAATCTATGGGGATTAGTTTTCCTCTCCTCTGACCATTCCTGGTGGGTAAACTATCTGGCAAAGGAGTAATACAGAAATTAATCTATAATTTTTATGGAGAACTGCAGTGACATTAAAAACAGTACTGCCAGTATAAGCATGTGAGGCCAGACAGCTTCCCAAATTCCCAGAGGAACAACAAAGATGTTATTTCAGAGGCTGATAATGTCCCTAACACAACAGGGCACTAAGTTGTTTCTAGGTATAATAGGAAATAAGATACTGGACCTTAAAATGTTCCCATCATCTTCCCTCACATGATGATTTTAGCAGCTAAATAAATGACTGCATAATACTCTATGAAAACCAGAATGTCAGGCTTCCAAATGGTGTGAAGCACTCACTTCTAAATAAAGCTATTCCTGAGACAACAGCCACTAAAACCACATCCCAACCAAAGTGAATGGAATAGTTTTAAGTGAAAAAGATGACTTTCAAAGCTGGTATCCATCCACAGTGCTTGTTCTTTTCCCACTGCTGTTCCTGCTCTCTTCAGCAGTAGTTTCTCCTGGGAAACTATTCCCAGAAAGGATTGATACCAGCGGCACAGGATGATGGTCTGCAGCTGCCCTTTGATACTGATACTGTCCCCTTTTTGCTTCCTTGAAACAAAAAAGCCACTCACTAGAGTGGCAGAAGTGTCTGGTGGTGCTGGAAGCAGAGCAGTAGGAAGGCTAGAGCACTGCTTTTAAAACAGCAGAGTAGGTACTCCAGCTTGAAGCTCTACAGGGGCACAGTTGAGCTGCAAGGAAATGCAACAGCATCAAAACAAAACACAGTTGGGGGCAGGGGGGAAACAAATCATGCTCTCATCACAATAAAAGCTACTTTGACCCACTTTCAAAACAATACATCAATCTCACCTGCAACTCTCATCACACAACGAACAGAACTAAATATATTGAACAAACCAACTCATAATTGTCTCTTTCCCCATTCAGCCCTTATCAAGGTAACATCTCATCAGTCATTTTCTTACAGTGTCTGAAAGGATGTGGATTTTCTTTCATGACTTAGGGCCTGATCAGCTGGAGGCAGTCTGCAGTTGTAAGAACAAGGCCTCCTCCCAGCACAGGGGTGATACAGAAAAAGCTTTCAGTGTGGAAACAATTTTGATCCAAACAGAACTGAGGAGACAGAGAGAGCAAGAGGTACACAGGCCTCCCTCTGCACATGGGACAGGGCAAGAGGCACAAAGGCAGCTCATTTGTAGTTCAGGGCTGCAGGGAGGGCTGCAGGGACAGTAGGAATGTGGCTGCCCTCCAGTGCAGAATGGAGGGCGCTGGAAAACAGGGTGCCAAAGAGAGCCCTAGCCTCATTTTCCTGGCAGATTCCCAGAGCCTCTGAGATAGAGTGCTGTCCATGGGAGTCTGGCTCTTACAAAAGCCTCAGCTCCCCTGGATGAAAGAAAAAATTGAAACAGTCCATGGCTGATGGCTGCAAAGGTTCACAGAGGCATGTCTTGCTTGTTGCTCTGCATCTTCTCTGCAGTCACTTCATGACATCCAGCCCATCAACATGACAGGTCCACAACAAGTTCAAACCACAAGGGACATCCTTGTTGGGAAATCATTCTGAGAGGAAAGAGAGAAGATTAAATGTCAACAGGAAAGCTCTCGTTGGAACAGACAGAGGGACAGACAAAGCTTTGACAGAGACACAACAGTAACAGCCTTGTACACTCACAATCCAGTCCTCTCTCCCACAGCCAAGCTACTCTAATGATAAGGTCTCCCTCATGGTGCAGCCTTCCCCAGCTGGGTTAGATTGGGAAGATCCCCTTCCCCAGCAACCATGAACTTATCAGGCCTCACCAAGCTTGGATTGTGGCAGGATGTTTTGCACTTGCTGGTATCCTAGGGGAGGAATGCTTTTGGCATGAATGGCCCCCAAGGGAGCCCATGGGCCCATGCACCCATGGGAGTCTGAGATCTCACCCCTTTCAGAAAGATGTCTCTTACATCATCCCCTGCTACCAGCCCTGTCCCAGTCCAGAAGAACAAGAGCCTCTCAACCCTTCCTTAACAAGAATCAAGGCCAAAGCAAAGCTGTAATTTCTGTAAGGCCTGGGTAACTTCCCTACCAAGATCCTCCTGAATGCTAGATAAACTCCTACCACCTTGGATTACCAGGCCACAGATGCCAAAGACATCCCTTACCTCCCCAGTCCCAGACACATCTGGCTTTCCCCTCCTTCATGGACTCCTGTGTAAGAGTTATTACCCTTTCTGGCTTCCTGCCCCCCCAGTTCCTTTCCCTCTTCCCACAGGGAGTGACACCTAGACCCCAGGTGTCACTCTCCTGGAAAACCCCTTGCCCATCAACTTGGGTTAGTAACCCCTGCCTGGTGGCTCTCTGCTCAGCCTATTTGGACGAGGACCACCAGACATGGCCTCACTGTTTTCTTGGGGTCCTTTTTCCTCTTCTTGTCAGAGGCATTGAGGTAGGCCTGTTCCCTGGCCCTGTAGGAAGGGCCTCGGCTCAGCTCCCTCTCGCTGTAGGGGGGCAGGCTGTCCTCCTCCTCCTCCTCGTCCTGCTCGGGGGACGACGACTGCTGCGGCGGCGGCTGCGACTTCTCGGCTTTGTAGGTGGAGGGTGGTGACCAGGCGTAGTACGTGCTGCCTCCTCTCTGGCTGGGCTGCGAGCTCAGCTTCGAGGGGGTCGCACAATGGTCACCGCTCTCGTCATAGCTCCGGGATTTCCTCTCCAAGACGCTGCTGAGGTAGGAATGATCGTATTTCTGGCTCCCTCCGGGCGTCCTGCTCACCAGCCTGGGAAGGTGCTTCTCCTCGTGGGCCCGTCTCCGTGGCGGGCTGTAGGACCAGCCCCGATCCGAGTCCGTCAGCGGCTCCCGGTTGCCCCTGCAGCGCTTGGTGTAGTATTCCTCCAGGGAGCTGTCCTGGTGGGGCAGCCCCCCGCCACGCCCGCCGTGCGACTCGGAGCGCTCGAAGCGCCGCATCTCCTGGCTGTCCGCCCGCCGCGGCCGCTGGCTGTAGGACTCGGCAAAGGCCGCCAGCTCGTCCATGGACACGGCCGGCACTCCCACGGAGAAACTCTTACGGGACAGCATCTCCGACTTGGATCTCTGCTGGCTGGAAGAGGGAGGAGGTAGAGTTAGAGGGCAGGATCCAGCTGCATGCATCCCCTAGGCTGCCTGCAGACAATGGAGGGAAACAGGCCCTCCTGGGGGCATGAATCATCTGAGCTGTTTTCATCATCTTCCACAGGAAAAGAATCTATCACATCCTTGAAACCCTGGGTTCTCTTTGCTAAATGTAAAGGCAGCTTAGTGCCGATAGCTCAGGCTCTTCATGTCTAATGTTACCTGAGGTTATCCCCAGGGTGCACCTGCCCTGTCCTCCAACATGCAGGGCTGGACCTGCTTCTCCTTCATCCTAGAGCTTGTGGGTGTATATCCTGCTGAAAAACCCAAGAGCCCAGCTATAGAAGCTCACAGCAGGGCAGTTTTGAAGCAGGTTTAAAGACAGTGAGCTGGTACAATAGCCCAGTACTGAAGGAAGAAAACCCCTGCCATTGCTTTTTGAATGCTGGGATGCTTGAGGGAAGGGTTATGCTATCTCTCTTCTAGGCACCAGAGTGCGAGTCCTTCGAGCCTGGAGCACCTGTCTAGCTGCACCAAAGCAGGAGGGTATGACTCCTATATAAAAAAGCACACCAGCACTGGGAAGTGCTGGAGGCATCAAGTACGAAGCTCAAGAGAGAGATTTCACACTATGGGAAGGCTGGCTTGGTTCCGTATTGCTCTCACATCCCACTGGGACTGGGGCTTGTACCTAGCTTTACCCAGCTGGGTAAGCTTCAGCAGGCTTGTGGCAATCAGCTTTATTCTGACCTCATCTAATGATATGTCCAGATTTCCTATTTCTCTCTAGCCACTCTCTCCTGCTAAGCAGAACACAGGCAGCAGGAAATAGGGGACAGCTAACAGTCCATCTGTCCCTTCTGCTTTCTTTACCACTTTGCCAGATAGAGGCGCCCCCCGATGTGGTGTCCCTCACCTGTGCCAGTAGCTGTCCCGCTCATCCCTGTAATCAGACACAGCCTGTGATCTGGAGGTGCTGCCGCTGCCCACGACTCCTGCCCAGTACTCGGCGTCGCCGTCCATGTCCCCCGCGGGGGGCAGAGGCTTCCTCCGCGCCTGCCGGTAGGGCTGGCGGAAGTTCAGGTCCTCCTCGTGCAGCGAGCTCAGCTCAGAGACAGTGTTGTTATCTGCAGGGAAGGATGCAGGAAAGAAATGAGATGGGCATTGCCTGATGGCAGCCAGGCGGGGATTCTGAGGGTATCACAAACGGTGCAAGATGCCAGTGCTCCAGATAAGTGACTTCAGCCTTCAGAAAGAGCTTTCCACCTGTGAGCTCCCTGCCCTTGCAAGGTGGTCACCAAGCTTGGTGGGACACCACTAGAGCACAGAAGTTGTGCCACCTCCCCTTTTCCTGGTGTGAGACAGGCTGGCTCTGGATTTGGCCCGACTTGCCCAGCTAAAACAAAAGCAACTCCCTCAAAAAAAAGATTAAGGAAAAAGTAAAAGTCTATCTGAATCACTGTCAGTCTCTACTCCATCAAGCACACTGACATCTGTAGGCCTGACATACCAATCTGCAGAGGTCTTTTTATAGTAAATCTTGTGGGTGGAGAAGACAGTGTGCTCAGCAGTGACTGTTTTAGAAGTATATATAATTTGTTCGTTATGCCTAATCTGTACAGAGCTTTGATGTAGTGTCATTCCTTAAAGCCCTTCCCTTCAATGATTTTCAGGATCCCACACGTCTGGTTTAAGTGAGCCTCTAGCAGTGCCTAACATGGGTTAGCTCCATGTGCTGCCCACAGGAACTGAGCCCCCAGCCTGCCACTGTCCTCTGCACACAGCAGCCACAGGACAAGGAGCAGCACTGCCAGCCCTCCCCACACAGCTTGTTCCATTCTGCACCTCTGCCTCCCAATGTAGAAAGATCCTCACTTGGGTTTGTATTCTGACACACATTAAGTGCAGCCTCAGCCTTTAAGGAAATAAAAGTTTACAAGAGGCTATGGGAAGACAGTGAAGTTCCTTACAGAAGCTCAGTTCTGAGTTTGCACCATGTCCCTGTTCAGCACCCTGCTCCTTCTGCATGGCATCAGCCATTCCAAACAAACTTCATGCTTCCTTCAAGCCACACTGTGGTCACTGCAGCCCACAAAAGACACTTTCAATAAAATCATCCCTCTCCTATTTTGCCATGCTGGGAATTTACAGACACCACACTCTTAAGAAATTGTGAAAACAATATCCCAGCTATTATCACACCACAGGCTGCAGATGGTATGAGTGGGACTTGTTTTTTCAGATGCTGATGATCCCAAAGTTTAATTATGAGTGGACAATTTTCATGAGCTTTTCAGTAGCCCTCACTTTGCTCTAAGAATGATTAGGTAAGCACCAGACCTTTAAAATCGGAACATACCTGTAGATACCTAAAATCTAAGACTTTTTATGTCCCAATTAGCTTATCCTGGATATCATATCCTAGGGGCTGACCCTGAGGCAAACAAGTGAAAATTTAACTATGAATTTTCCAGTCTTGCTTAAGTCAGTGGAAAAAAAAAAAAAATCAAACCATGCTTGTTTCTCACATCGGTCTCGCATCCTCCTAGCCGGGTCAAACTGAGCCAATTCTTTCTCGACATAGTACAGCACCTTCATGGAGTCCCTGTCCTTGTCAGTCTGGATCCTGTACCCTTTGCGCACTGCTAGGGAGAGAAAAAGAAAACATCAGAGGAAAACCCATGTAAAAACAAGGAGCCTTTCCCACAATACTGCTTCTATAGCTGAGCTCACGTCTGCAGGCAGGTAGGCTGCGTCAAAACACACTGAGTCAGTCGCTGCTTCACAAGAAATTAATCTACAGTGTGGGATGTGAAGTTGTAAGAACTTGCATCATTTTCAGGAACAGCAAAAATGGTTTGGAAATGCCCAATTTGTACAACCCAGTGCAGCCAGTGATGGACACTGAGCATGGTGGGACATCCTCACAGCACCTCACCCTCCCTCCTGTGAGACAGGCTCGCTCTGGAGCTGGCCCGCTTTGCCCAGCTACAACAAAAGCAACCCCCTCATTGCCATAGAGCGATTCCAACTTCCAACTCCTATAGATGACGGCAGAGAGAAAAAGCAGAACTCTTTTCTCCTTCCTCAGCACTACTGAAAAGATTCGTCATGGTACAGGAGAAGCACTCCCAGAAGATCAGGCTTCCTCTAAGCTCTCAGTCTGCAGAAGCATGTGGCTGAGCATTTGGGAGCTGTCACTGTGCAAGACCACTCCACCCTCCCACCCCCATGAATTCTCCTCACACAGGTTGAAGAGCATGTGGCAGAAGCTCCAGAGAATATAGAAGGAAACACAAAGTCCCACAAAGCAAACCACGCTGCTTTGAGATTTATACTGACTCCAGGGATGAGGCCAACCAGGTCACTGGTAGCTGTGAAACTGCCTGCTCTGGAATTTTTTACAAGCTTTACTTTACAGAAAAGGTATATATCTTAGACATACATTAAATGCTTGACTTCTGGGAAGTCTGGACAGCTTTTCTGACTTGTTTGCATGCCCGTGTGTAAAAAAGAAGGCCCTACACAGCCGGAGCCAAAGCAGATTTAACTCTGGCAGGTTAGCTCCATGCACACTTTACCCACTAACAACAGCTACAAACAGCCTGACTACCTTAAGGCAGAGCTATAATCAGCAAGCAGAGAACTCTACCCTTCCACTCCTTCTCTGAAGAAAATAAGGTTTCCATAGCAGATTATTTAACAAGGGTATCAGCCTAGAGCTACTTCAGGATTGACAGAAATTCAGGTCTAGGTACCAGAGAAGACTACAACCCTCAAATTCAGCCTTATTAGAGAACCATTGTAAGGACAATTCACTTAGCACTACAAAATGGAACCTGCCTGCCTTGCATGGGGTTAATAGGTTCCCTTGCAGGAATACTGCAGTGTTGCATGAATGCTCTTGCTGGGGAACAATTTGAACACTTGGACAGTGGTTCTGAGCCAACCTGTTCCTTCTGTTTTATCCCTCACCACCGCAACACATCGAGCTATTAACATATGGGTTTGGTAGTACGTCGCATAGTATGTGCTGTGTGGGCTGAGCAAGGACTTGGCAGAGGTATTCTTAGGCACCTCCTGTCCCAAACTGCTGTGCATGTGTCTCTGTGCACTAGGAAATAACCATGCTGTGCTTCAGGAATGGCCGTGCCATGGGTAGAATTCAGAAGCAAAGTGCTTTACTGTGAGTTTGGACTGCTCACCTGTAAAATATCTTGAGATATTACCTTGTGTGTCTGCACTTGGGAATGGTATAGGATGTAAAAATATAGTAGAGGTCTATCAGGGTCCTTCTTTTAACATGCCTCCAGACAGCTCAGCTGACAACAGTGTGTGCTTTATTATCCCTGATGAGTGAGTGAGAGCACAGTGGCTGGAAATGCAGACAGTGGTTTACAGAACACAAGGAATCCTGCCTCTGCCTCCCAAAGTGGAAGCACAGCAGGTCTCCTCAAGTGAGGCTGGACTGACTGCCCTCAGAAGTGACAGCTCTGGCTGCACTGCATGAGCAGCAAGGGCAGTTCTCTACTTCACCATCATGCCTGGCACCTCACTTCTGTCTGGTTCTGTGCCAGGAAAGAGGCCTCTCGCTATTCTTTCTTCTAATTTGTGGACTAGGAGCTCAGCTAAGCTGCCACCTCATTTATATACAGGCTAGTAAATCACTCTGACCTTCTCATAACCTTTGGGGAACTTGAACAGGCAGCTCCCAGACTCTGTTTCCCCAGAGCCACTGCTCACACTGAGGCTGTGCCAAACATCTATTGGGCAACCTCTACAGCTCCTGGAACTGATGGAGAATTAGCTAGGCTTCATGCTAGCATCACACTAAACTTGCTATTACAGCTGTGTATCAAAAGGAAAATTAATTTTTGGTTAATTCTGCAAGCATCTAGAAATTAATTTTGTATTTAAATCTGAAAAAAATATTGTGAACAGCTCATAAAAAGTATTTGCCACTACAGAGAAAGCAGTTTTGTCTCTATGTTTGTTTATCAGATACTTCTCATAATGGTACTAAATGTCCAATTTATTATATTTCTTCATTATTCCTTCAGCTGAGAACCAAAAATATTATTGTTTCTTCCTCACACTCTTCATCTGTAAATTGCCATAATCCTTTAATCAGATCTGAATCATTTTAAGTCCATTTTGATTATAGAGAAATAAAGATGCAGAGATGTTGACCACATGTCCAGAACCACTCACTGAAGTCAAAGGGAATGGAACATTCTTCCATATTTTCTTCTCTTGAACAGTTCATAAAATTCTAATGCTTAATTTGTATTTAACTGGACACTATTTTTATTCTTCTGTGGGTGGAAACAACTCAGCCAAAACTGTAAGCTGTCTTCCCTCCCCAGAAAGGGCAGCACTACTCTTTTTTTCCAGACAAGTATGTTTAGGAAGTAAATGATGTCTCATCCTTATACCCTTTTCATGTTAAAGATCTAAGACCAAAAGGTTCCTTGTATGCAGAATTTAAAGGATCTATGCAAGAACCTCTAAGTAACCACTGCATTTAAAATAGAGCATAAATCCTAACTTATGTGTTGTCAACACTCTTCTAAGTAAGACAGCTAAATGTTTTGGGAGATTTTTTTTTCATTCATAACACCTTGAACAGGTCCATGATCCAGACTATGGGTTTGTCCATATTATTGCCAAAAAAGATTAATTTTTAAAAAAGCTTAAGAACCTCTGTTGCCTTGCCACAAAGGTTAAAGCTCGGTGATAATGTTGTTATTTGCCATATACACTATTTCCTGTCAAGTCCTGAGGTGAGGGATTGAGTCCAGAAACCTGATTTGGCTGTACTATATATTAAATGCATCCTTCTGTGTAAGGATCATGGGATCCTAAGAGCCATTCCATTTGGCTACCAAACATATCCTCTGTTTTTTGTTCTGAATTTGTGCTCTGCTAGCAGAGACAAGACTGGGAGCTGTGATCTGACTCTTAAAAAATCCCTGGAGTTCCCACAACCAACACCACACTCTATGTGCAGTGACATTTTTCACAGGAGAAAAAAATTGAAGCACTGGGGTGTCATTCATCATTTTCTGACAAAGGTTTTTGAATTGGATACATTCTGCATTGGATCAGTGATTTATTTCAAATCACTCTATTCCATAGCTCTGTTTTGATCTCAGTGACCAAAAAAAAAAAAAGTATGATTGTTGAAAGAAAATACTTTTTGTAGTTCCAGAAAGGTTGGTAGACTGACTGGAGCAGCAGAACATGTGTAGGGTTGTTCCAGAAGCTTAATTAATTATGCAACTTAATCCTGTCTTTTCAGATACATTTTATCAACACACTGTCATGAGTTAATTTAACAACTGATACTTAGTGTGGTGCTTTGAAATCAGACATGTAGCTGGGTCAGTGATGACTCTACATTGGTGAGAGTAATTTCTGCTGCAGAATATTTGAATTTAGATAGCTACTCTGATCCTGAAATACATGTGGCTAAATAGCTGCCCTCTCTTCTCCTTGATGGCAGCTTCCTTTGCAGCAGCAAAGTGACCCTCCCTGAGACAAGAGGCATCACACTGAGGCTCTAGGTCTGACACAATTCCTTTCTAGTCAGAAGCCTTTCATCACTCACATTTCACAATTGCAAAGGCTGAACAAAAAAAGTGACCTACTGACTTCTGTAAAAGTAGAGAACAGGGTCCAGCCCCAAAAGACCTTGGGCAGAAATACCAAGGGAATAGGTTACTTTGCCCAAAATGCCACGGGGACAGTAAAACATGCTGCAGCAAAAACTGCTGCCAGAGTCCAAGCAGTGCCCTACAGAGGGCTGGAAGGACAGTTTACAAAGAGAAAGCAGCTTGTGAGGCATCAGCTCTAAGGGGAAAATGACTCCTGCATCTGCTCTCCTGAAATCATCTTCATCCTTTTGTCCTCTGCGAGCAAACATCTGCAGCAGTAATGAGAGGGGTCCTGTACAGGAACTTGGCCTCCCATTCCCTGCTGACCTAATTAGGCACCCACAAACTGACTCTATGTTGGTGGCCCTAGAAAAGTTAAGACTACATGGCCCTAATGCAAATGTCCTTGTCAAAGACAGGATTAAAATGCAGTTTCCCTGTGTTTCTGATCTTCACACCACTCAATCAGTGAATCGTTCCTCCCCTTCCCAGCCCTATTCCCAGTAAGAGGATTGAATGTTGTGCCTAGCACTGCAAATTACCATTTTGGCTTCCTCCGCTGGCCTCACTTGGGGCTAAGGGAGGGGGGTGTGACTTATCCATCAGCACAGCAGGAGACGGGACACCAGCTACAGGAACACTGGGGATGTAGTATGGACCTGGCATGGCAGAGACTGCAGGAGGGTATCCAGCTTTTGCTGCTTTGCCAGCTATATACACTGAAAAAGAAAAAGAACAAGAGTCACCATCACACACCAGCCTCCCCCCACAGACCCACTGTACACATGGACAAAACCTGCACCACCAGCCCCACAGGAGACAATCAGACAAATAAATTAACAAGGACCAATCTGAATTTCTCTAAGCCTCAAAGGGTACTGAGGGGAGTTTAAAATATGCACTGCATATAATAATAGGGCATATAATAATAATGGCACTGCGAGATGCCCAGAAAGACACTCAGGATGTTATAGCCAGCATTACTGCTGCCATGATTTAGTGGCAGTTCAGCTTTAAAAATAACCGATGACTCAAACAACAGGATGAGGCGCATGGAGCTTGACAGGTCTAACTGAGCCTGACCAGGAACCTTACTGTGTTGCAAGGATTTTGCACTGTTGTAGAGGACAGCTGATTTGCATTGCCAGGAAGAAACTTCCCAGGATGCTCTTAGCTCTGACCCGAAACATTCACTGACACAACAACAACAACTTTGGAATGGGAGCATGACACTTCGGAAAAGCAGGCACAGCTGCCAAGGCAGGGAGGGCTTGGGGAATTACATTTGTAATTAACTTTGAGCATTCAACCATTGAGTAATAGGTCAGATGCTTCACTCCCTAAGAACCAGTTCTTTAGCCAAGCAAAGTGCTCAGGGCAAAGGAAACAATATTAGCAGATTCTCCTCCTGTTCTGCCAGGGAGCAGAAGTAGCAGGGCAGATTTGCACCAGGTTTGGACAGGGTCACTCACGCGCCCGGGGACAGCAGCAGGACTCGGGACAGCAGGGGCAGCGGACGTAACAGCAGCAGCTGTGTGGGCAGCACTGGCACCAGCAGATCCCCACCAGGAGGAAGAACAGGAACGCCCCCAGGATCACCAGGCCCACAAAGACCCACTCTGGAAAACAAGGGGAGAAAGGGAGATATTTACAGGACTGCACATTGCTGTGGAAGAGAACGTCAGCAACATCCCCCCAGTGGAGAGCATGGGGACAAAACACACAGGTGAATAACAGAAGTTGACGGACTCCTTGTGGGTCTAGGACTAGGTCTATTCCTCCTCTTGTCAAAGCAGAAATGGCACATGACAGTGAGAAGTAAGCTACCAAAATGTGGTCCCTTCCAGCAGCATCTCTGGCTAGCTGGGAGATGCGCAGCAGAGGCAGGAGCCCTGGCTCCCCAGCCAGAAACCCTTCACCCCACAGCAGACCTGCGCCAATGCCGCAGGACGTGCTCCATTAGCCTTTGGACCTCATCAAAGACTCATTCTTCTTGGCCATGTTCATGCCCTGCTTATGTGTTTGTTCCCTACCCACATTCTGGATTTAATGGGACAAACGATGGTGAAAAGCAGGCTATAAATAGCCCAGTAAACGAGCCAGGCCTGCCCCTTCGCAGCGAGGCCTACGCGCGCAATTATTCTTTTGAATGTGCCGAACGAGCATCCTATTCAGGCACCACAGCCAGCCAGGAAACCTAACAACCACTTTTTTCCTCCCTCATTGAAGCCTCAGATTGATGTGTGCCAGGCCCCAAAAGGGAGCAGCTGAAAAACACCCTACAAGTGAAAGCACTCAAGAGCTGGCTCACAAAAGCCAGGATGCGGCTTAAAGGGGAAGGAGAGGGAGAAAAGGTTTCTCGAACGCTGATGCTGGAAAATGTGGTGGGAGCAGGGCTCAGTCTGTGCCAGGGCAGCACCTACTGCTACACAGGAGTTCCACAGACTAAGGGAATAATCAGTGAACAGATCTGGACCAAGAAATTACAAGACTCTGAGCATACAGGAGGCCTGGAGTTGGTTTTAAGTCAGAGAAATGCACCAACCTATCTCAAAGCAAGACTGCTGGTGGGGAAAAGACTTCAGGTATACACAGGTGGTTATTCAACCACCTCGGAAAAATGACAAAAAGCAAATAAAGACATGGCGAGGCTGCAGTGGGAAAGGGTTTATCCCCACTTCAGAGGGAAAAAAAGCAGCAGACCACAATTTCCAAGCAGAAGTCCAGCAGTGACTAAAGAGTCTCCTGGTACAGTATTGAGATGAAGAAGTATTGATAAAAGGATTGCAATATGCATGAAGAATCACACTGGAAAAAACAGTGCACTCCTCACCTGTGTTGCTAAGCTAAAATGTCAAGGAAAAATGTTTCACTTGGACCATTCAAAATAGAATTTTTCCTAGTTCTTAATACAATGCAAAATTAAGAAATGTCATTATTGATCCATCCACAGTGTTCTGTTAGAACAAAAGTATGATTCTTTACTTTGCTGGAGTTTTCCTTAACTCTTTTACAAACAACTCCCCTTTTTAAAAAAATGCCATTTTAAATCTAGAATTTAAAATTTCCTTTGAAAAATGTCAGTCAAAGACCTGGCATCTACAAATCAACACTTCAGAAGTGTGAATTTTTTTTAATCCTTTATTTATTTTTTGGCTGACACACATGCATTTCATTTAAATTTGCATTTAATTTTGGTTTCTCTGGAATAATATTTTGGGCTTGAACTTACAATATGCTGAGAAAAACTCAGCTGACAAGTAAGGAATGGGCAGAAGGGAAGCATTCATGAATGGGAAAGCAAGAGCTGAGAGATTACTGACCCAGTCCATAAAGTTCTGCTTTTAGCAGCTGTTTTGCTTAATATTTCCAAATTACCTTGACATAGAAAATGAGAATGTGCTAAAATATCATGACAGTAAGCAGTAGGGATGCATTGTCACTGGAGGCTGGGATGTGTTATACAAAGGGCCAGTAGTCCTTGTGTCTAAAATAGAAAACGTGAAATGCAGTATTATCCTGAATTTCAAAGTATGCAGCAATACTTTCAGTGCCACAGGTTCAAAGATAAGAACAATTTATATTCTGAACAGGACTTTGCTGGTTCAGAGGAACTAAAAAACAAAAGAAATTATCCAGTATACATAGCATTACTGTCACCACTCATGCAATACAGCCACCAAAAATGGCAAATGTAATCCTAGGCCCAATAAGGGAAGAATTTCCAACAATATTAAGAAAATATCAATGCCATCACACAAGGTCTTCTCTGTACTTGACTTCGTCTGAAGTTTCTGATGTTATATAGCTCTGGTCATCTTTGCAGCAAAAAAGATGAATTTAGGCCAGAGCCAATGGAAAGCAGAGATTTATTTGAGGGATGAAGGGACTCTGAAGCCTGCCTGGCAGCAGGGGAGCTGAAGCCTCTGAGTTACTCTATTAAACAGAAGGCTCAGAGAAGATGTAGCTCCTGCCTGTAAATATGGTAGGAGGATAAATGCAGGAGAAAAAGCAGGTATTATAGTTAAAGATCTTACATAAATGGACAGAAATAGATGATCAGTGATGTAGAGAGAAGCTAAAAGAAGCCCATCAGAGAAGGTGAGCCAATGGGAAAGAGAAAAACCAAACCTTAGGTCACTCCTAAGCTTGCTATGCTTACAGAAAGATGAAATTACATGGTGGTGTGGAGAGAATGCAAGATAGAGAGCCAGACTATCCTTTCCAGTCCTGTACTTCCTAATCTATGCCAATCTAAGCAACATCTTAGTGGCTTTTTCTTTATTGTGTTCTCATCTTGTTTTCTGCAACCATCATGGACACAGAGAAGGAGGTGAAGCTGTACTGCTTGACACAAGAGGCCAGCCACAGCTATCCAGTGAAACTTAGATGTCAGATCTCCAGAGCTGTTAGTGAATAGTTCACAACCGCTCCATAAAGGATAAAAGCCTGGTAGAGGAATAAACAGACAGCAAGTCCATTAGAAGTCTATCTGTGGTCTCCCTGAAAATATCCTAGGAGTACAAAAGGGGTCAGATTAGTGTACATTGCACATTGCAGGATACTCACTCAGCATATAAAGTGGATGTTTAAAATCAGTGTCCCAGCCATAGGGACCTGTGAGTCAAGATTTTACTTCACAGGAAGATAGACAATTTCCTTTTCTGATGGGGTTAAAAAAACACCAAAAAGAGCCTGCTGGCTCTTCCTTTAAAACAAAACAAAACTGGGTTTCAACCAGTTTCCAGTACAACTGTGTAATGCTGGGATTCAAATGACTACCAAGCTGACATGCTCTGTGTCCTTGCTGTCTGGAAACAACTGGTTTGTGCTCACAAAAGTATCAGCCTTCCTTTACTCAGGTAACAGGCAAAAACCAACAGCTGTGGTGTGAAATGTGGTTTGCTGCTGCATCTTACACTTTCTTCTTGTCCACCTCTGCAGTGAGGGTACCAGAAAGATATCTGGCCTACACACCACAATTTTATACTCATTCAATAAAATTCTAAATAATGGGAAGAAAAGTGTTAGGCAATAGAGAATCAACTGTTATCTATCTATGCTAAAAAGACCAATCCCTCTTCTGCCATGCAGGAATCCTAAGGAGCTTTGGGTTACACTGGAGGAGGGCGAGTGTCTGCCTTCTCTCCATTTGCATCTCTGGGACAGGCTCAAAAATAGCTTCACACATTTATGTGGAGTTGCATTTTTGCACAAACGTGTGAAATAAATGTTCCTCGGGTACCACCAGGGAATGATCAGATGACTCGACGGCTAAATATTCTCACAGCTTTTCCCTTTCAAGAACAATCTGTTGCACAGCCTCTGTCTCCTCTACAAAGAGTGCCAGAACTGGTGGCTCTCACTAGTTTTGGCTAGCAAGGGATTTCTCATGGGCACGGAGCTCTCACGTCAGGCCCAGCCACCTGGTGTTACAGAACATGGCCTGGCCATGCAGCACAAGAGGGGCTGTGCCACTGATGGGGTGCTAGCATTGCTCTATTCCCAGCAACTCCTGTGCTACCATCTGTGGTGATGGTGGAGCAGTAGCACAGGCCAGGTCTGGGGAGCTGAGTGACTGCACAGAGACACACAGGGCTGTGGGGTCTCCCAGGCTGAAGCACACTTTCCTCTGTGCTAGCAGGGGGAGAGCAGAGAGCTTGATAGAAAACGTCCCCAGAACAGCTTTGGCATTTCTGCTCTCACACTGATCCTGGCATGATATCAATCATCTCTCTGTGCTGGCTCCAAGCATAGCCCAGCATCAGCTCTCTCGGGTCCAAACCCAGCACTTTCCTAGTAAGTGATAGGTTTTTCTCTTTAAATCCCCAGATAAAACACACATGAAGTGAAACATACACCACATAAAGATGCTGCAGAAGGATAAACAGACAAGATGACAGAGGAAGAGATGATTAAGGGTGAAATGACTGAATACCTGGCATAATCTCCACAGCAAAACTGGGCAAGAGATCAGCAAGCAGCCCTGTCCTGCCTAGAAAAGACAGAAGGAGGAGAAGGAGAGAGGTTACTGCAAGAAAAACACACTCCCCAGCCCCTGCCTTAGCCTCCAGTTCCCTTCCTCATCAGCCCACTTGCACTCTGCGTTATGTGAATTCCTATCAACCACAGATGTCATCCTGCTCGATGCCTGGTGTCTGCCTCTGCACTTCTGCCATTTCTGTGTCCTTGCATTTTATCTTTATCAGCAGAGCTGGGGAGAAAGAATCTGGAACAGAGCTTCTTCAATCTAGGCACAAAATGACAAGAAAAAGGAGTCCCTTTAGCATGGTTACATGGTAACATCTTCCTGGAGTTATGCTCTACACATGCAAAAGCTCCTGGAAATGCACAACAGCCCTTAAACAAAAGGACACAGTTTATTTTTGAAATGTACTGATATCGTTTATACAGATATGAAACATCTTTAACCCAAGGCTATTGATAAATCAGCCACGTGCTTCCAAAACCCGTGGATGCTGCTCTCCATGTGGGGCTCTGTGAGTGCACTGACAGCTCCAGAAAGGAGCTTTGAAGGAATGCTGTGCATATGTGCTAATTATTTGGAGATGCACAAGCATCTTGGTGAGACTGTGTGACAAAGGCCAACACCCAATGGAAGTAAACCAGCCAGGGAAGGATTTGTGCAGAAATTTGTGTGATCACTTTGCAAAAGAAAAAGGAAAGAAACAAAAAAAAAAAA